TTTTTAAAACCGAGGTCCGACAGGTTCATTTAAACCGGCCCTTCGGTATAGCCAGGCCAGCTCTGGGCCCAACATTAAGGCCCGTCGACCTGGCAAGCCGAGCCGTGAACCGACTCGACAGTCGAACACGTCTACCCCCAAAGGCCCAAACGATCCACAAAGTCCACCAACTCTCATGGGTCATCCAAATGCAAAACTGAAAAAGAAAAATAAAATAATAAAAATAAATATGTCTATTTTCGTCTCTTCATATATCCTACCAAATTCACGACCCGACAGTTGAACACGTCTACTCCATCCAAAGGCCCAAACGATCCGCAAAGTCCATCAACTCTCATGGGTCATCCAAATGCAAAACTGGAAAAGAAAAATAAAATAATAAAAATACACATGTCTATTTTCGTCTCTTCACATATCCTACCAAACTCACAAGTCACAACAACACCACCAACAACCAAGAAAAAAAAAGAAAAAGAAATCAGCTCTATAAAACCCCAACCATTTTGCACCCTTTCTCATCAAAGCAGAGGCGCGCTCAATCTGCCTACTCCAGGTACTCACCAGTCACCACGCCTTAAACACCCTACAATGGCGCTCGCTGCCCAAAATTCCCTTCTTCTCAACAAATCCTCCATAATCCCTCAAACTCATTTCCTCACCAACCCCACTCCTTCATCTCTCGTTCTCAGATCCACCGCCAAACCCATCTCCGCCGTCCACTCCCCCGATCCCTCCAATCCCAAGACCCCCATTGCCCCCGCCGCCGCCGTCTCCACGTCGTCCGCTTCTACTACCGCCGTCGAGACCAAGTCGGCCCCCAAGAGATGGGCGCTGGACAGCTGGAAGTCGAAGAAGGCGCTGCAGCTGCCTGATTACCCCAATCAGGAGAATCTGGATTCGGTCCTCAAAACCCTAGACGCTTTCCCGCCGATCGTGTTTGCCGGAGAAGCCCGGAGCCTGGAGGAGCGGCTTGGCGAGGCCGCCATGGGGAATGCTTTCCTTTTGCAGGGAGGGGATTGTGCTGAGAGCTTCAAGGAGTTCAATGCTAATAATATCAGGGACACTTTCAGGATCCTGCTTCAGATGGGCGCCGTTTTGATGTTTGGTGGCCAGATGCCTGTTATCAAGGTCTTGTTTTTATACCCCGTCTTTTAATTGCTGTCCTTTTCACGAGTCAGTCTAAAAAATGGCAAATTCTGTATATGTTTTTTTTTTTTTTTTTTATTTATGTTGCTTTGTATATGCCCTCTAGATGTGTTCCGCATTTGGGGTTGAATGCGGTTTTACTGTGGATTATGATGAATTTTGGATTCTTCTTGGGTATTTGATACTTTCCTCAAATGAAAGGACTACAATTTCCTCTTGTTCTATATATTTATCTAGTTTTTGCCTTTCCTGGTTTGTCCATATTGTATTTACAGCTAGCAATAACTCCTCTAATTCCATGTTGAATTTTCTGAAAATTGTGAATTTGTACTGAACTATAGTAAAAGTTGAAAAAAAGGAACCCATCTTTAAATTACCTTTGCTGTAAAATACACAGGTGGGAAGAATGGCGGGACAATTTGCAAAGCCTAGGTCTGACTCGTTTGAGGAAAAAGACGGTGTGAAGCTGCCTAGCTACAGAGGAGACAATATTAATGGAGATGCATTTGACGAGAAGTCCAGGATTCCTGATCCCGAGAGGATGATAAGGGCATATTGTCAATCGGCAGCCACTTTGAATCTCCTGAGGGCTTTTGCCACTGGTGGATACGCCGCCATGCAAAGGGTCACACAGTGGAACTTGGATTTCACCGATCATAGTGAGCAGGGTGATAGGTATGCCTAAAATCATTCTCTGGATTTCATGTTAACTTTTTTCTTGTGGTGTTACTGTGTGTTAGTTAGTTTCCTACAATTTATTTAACAAAATGGATGGTTTGTTAAGAAACTATGAGTTATGATGCTTGTATGGTTTTAAACTCCTTCAAGTACTTTACGTTTAGATTGTTTTTTGAATGTTTGCAAGCACTTAAAATATGTATGGTTGTGCACTTGGGCCAGAAGAACATAAGACTAAATTTTGAAATAAAAAATGTAGGATTTTAACGCTTTCAAATGTGAACTTCAGCTTCTGATTGAGGATATTTACTTAGTATCTAAGGCAGTATGCTGCCTAATTTATATTATTTATCTTGCTTTTGGTTTCAAGGCACCAGTCAGGTAGAAACATTAGAATTAAGAATGCAAATTAAAAGGGGGAGGCATAGACCGAAGAAAACTTGGAATGAGACAATAAAAAATGATTTAAAATATTTAAATTTGAATGAGTATATGTGCTTTGATCGAGCACGATTGTGACATGTGATCCATATGGCCGACTCCACTTAGTGAGATTTTAACAGCTTGTTGATTGATTGATTGATCGATCTTGCTTTTGGTCTGTCCTTTTTTGTCCTAATAAAGCACTTCCTTATAACCTCATCACCTAAAACGGTTGAATTTATTTAAATACTCGCTTGTATTTTGGCGATACTGCTAATGTCCACTGAATTTATCAATTCTGATTCAAGTTCCGCTAAAATTTCACTCTGTAAAAACCAATGTTTTCTTTTCAAGCACTACTGTTACTTTTATCACAATACATGCCATGCCCTTGAAGGTGTATTTGCACAGGTATATTTGGGTCATTGGGTGGCTGAGTTACCCTTTTGAATGTTGCAATGCAGGTACCGTGAGCTAGCCCACCGAGTGGACGAGGCACTAGGATTCATGCAAGCTGCCGGGCTCACGATGGACCATCCTGTCATGAGGACCACCGAATTCTGGACTTCCCATGAGTGTTTGCTTCTTCCTTACGAGCAATCACTCACTCGCCTCGACTCCACCTCTGGCCTCTACTATGACTGCTCGGCCCATTTCCTCTGGGTTGGCGAGAGAACCCGACAGCTGGACGGGGCCCACGTCGAGTTCCTCAGGGGAATCGCCAACCCACTCGGCATCAAGGTGGATTATTTTTTTTTTAACTATTATGGGAGTGATTGTTTATGGATTCTACTAGTTTTCATTTGGTTTGTTTTTTTAACTATAGTTAATTTTGAAAAAAAGTAGTATAGTTAGTTGTTAGTGGATATATTAAAATAATATTTAAATAAAATAATTAAAGTTGATTTGATGTAAAGTACGAGAAAAATGATTGGAAATGATAGTTAGTTAAAATTATGTGAGTTGATGAATAATGAATTAAAGTTGATGTGATGTGTAAGAATGAATGGTTGATATTATTTAATTATTATTGATAATATGAGAGATAGTGAGGTTGGGTTAAAGTTGAGTTAAATTTGAGTTTTGATTGGTTTTTTTACTGTATAAACCCTACGATTTCGTGTCTAGTTAATTTGGGTAGTAATAGTTTTTTTAACTATTCTTTTATTCTCTTCACACTTTAGGTGAGTGATAAGATGGATCCGAATGAGCTCGTGAAGCTCATCGAGATTCTGAATCCTCACAACAAAGCAGGTAGGATAACAATCATCACGAGAATGGGAGCTGAGAACATGAGGGTGAAGCTTCCCCATTTGATCAGGGCTGTCCGTAGGGCAGGACAAATTGTGACGTGGGTTTCGGATCCTATGCATGGCAACACCATCAAAGCTCCCTGTGGTCTCAAAACTCGTCCATTCGACTCTATCAGGGTAAGTCGCTGGATTTATTTCCACTTGTATTAGAAATGTCTGTTGTGTTTATTAATTTCTTCATGTGGGACCTTACTTGGAAATCTAATTGAAGCATTAGATACATGTCTGTGTCTAAATAGATTGCTAAAGGACATCTTTTTGAGGGCATTGTTTAATGGGATGTACCTAATTTAAGCTTGTTGATGTTTAACCAGTCAAATAAAGTATGATTGAGTTGCCAAATTATGTCTTAAAACAAGAAAGGTAGATTCTAACAAAGTGTGTGTGGTTGAGAGTTAATTCGATAAAGTCTGCTTCCTTAATCATCATTTGGTAGTTGTGCATCTTAATCAATAAAGTCTGCTTCCTTAATCATCATTTAGTAGTTGTGCTGTCTTAATCAATAAAGTTTGTTTCCTCGAAGCATATTGTGGTGGTAGGTGCCATGTATTCTCTTGATTAAAGTCTCTCCCTCACCAACCCTCTCAATATATGTATGTCTATCTATATACATATATGCATATAAATGTTACTAATATATTATCACCATTAACGTATTATATTATGTCGTGATCACCATGACATAATTTACCTCCGATCTATTACCCATACATATGAGACATACATTTAGTATAATGCTGAAGAGAAGAATGTCTTGGAAAATGAATGGTTCAAGGTTACTATATGCACCCGAACCACTATTAGAGTACCAAATGAACACATAATTTTTAATTATATTTAACATAATGTCATCAATGGCTCTAATTATTCGTATTGTGACCTCGTGCATAATTTTTCATCACTTTAGGCTGAAGTTAGAGCTTTCTTTGATGTGCACGAGCAAGAGGGAAGCCATCCGGGTGGAATGCATTTGGAGATGACGGGCCAAAATGTCACGGAGTGTATTGGTGGATCGAGAAACCTGACGTTCGACGATTTAAGCTCAAGGTACCACACTCACTGTGATCCTAGGCTCAATGCCTCCCAATCCCTTGAGCTCGCGTTTATTATTGCTGAGCGCCTTAGGAAGAGGAGGCTCGGCCGCAACTAAGAAGCTGTTCAATGGCTAGTGGGATTTCGTAATTTGTTTTTCCTGTTTCTTGAGCGTAATTTTTTTTTCTTTAAATGTGTTGTATGTATGTGTGTCCTGCGGTTTGGAACAGTTCGAAGCCAGAAATAAATTTCTATAAGAAATAAATTTCTATTATATATATTGGTTTGGTGGTAGGTGTGTTTTGTATCTTTTATTTTGTGGAGGGCCATTGGTGCAAAAAAGTTGGTGCAACCTGTTCACACTCCAGTTCCAACTTATTCTTATGTCATATGGGTTGGTTATGGAAACTCTACGTCGTTCATCTCTCTATTTATTTACATACTTATGTCGTTCGTCTCTAAATCTCAATGTATTTACATATTTTTATGAAGTTAGTGTTTTTCAGTTACAACTTACAAGCATAGTAACTTTTAGTGTTTTATGAATGGTTGATTGTAGTATATTATTATCAATAGTATTGAAATTATAGTATTATTTTTATTTATGACTTGTTCATGAATTATTTAAGTGTGATTTTATTTTGAATGATATAAATATTTTTTTACAAATCTATATTTATTGAATGTAGCCCTTGCCTACTAATGACGGGCAAAAGACTACATTTCAACAAAGTATTGAGAAAGGGCGAAATTTTTTACTTAAATGATTAGTGTCACTGTGCACATACATCAAAAGCGTGTCACTTGACGGGCAAAAGACTACATTTCAACAAAGTATTGAGAAAGGGCGAATTTTTTACTTAAATGATTAGTGTCACTGTGTCATATACATCAAAAGCGTGTCACTTGGCTCTACCGGAGTTTTCATCAAAGCCAGGATGAAAGCCTAGTTCAGCCAACTTGTCATTTTTGCACAAAGCGCGATAACTTCTATTGTGGATATTCAAATCCAAGATCTTCTTCAATTTGTCGGCAAACTCCACGCTCATGGGAGAACCATTCTTGTCGTCCGCTACGCCAAAATAACAATATTGCTAAGATGAGTCAATCGCACCAAGAAAGGATCCACACAATTGGCTCACAAAGTATTACAGAAGTAAAAAATACTTGCGCATCTTTTCCACGAAAAAAGTAGGTGTCCTGACCTCATTGATCGCGACCTTGCCACTCTCCGGCAATCCAGAACTACTCCGGCTTCCACCTGTGTCGCGATTCAGGGACATCCTTAACCAGGTGGGCGTATTTACCATCCCTCGGGTGAAGGTGGAAATATCTTGATCCCTCTTTAGCCGTTCTCCACATACAAAGAGTCCAACTCCTCTCTAGTCGAAGTTGGCCACCCTTTCGAGGCAAACATTACCACCATATAGCACAAGCGATAAATAACATTTGGATGTACCTGAACAATGGAAATGCCCCATTCCAACAGATATCGGGCGATCACTAAAGGAAGCTGGAATCTCAACCCCGATAGTATCACTTATTTATGCACTGCGATACTCCCCTTTGAAGGGCAATGGGCCCGCTTGCCTTCATTTGGAGTGAACATTTTTCACGACTCCCAAAATTTCATACTTTCATGTATCGTCAGCAGTTCGGGGTCCCTCTTACTGATTGCCTGAGCGTCGATCTCCATAATGGCCTCCACTAATGGCACTTGTATCGGCGGACGACGCCAACAATCCTCCGGTGTCGAAATATGATCTTCAAGATCTCTCATTTCATGACCATTCAAAGAAGACATGATCACCCAAAAGAAAAAAAAAGGGAGAAAAACAAAGAAATGCTAGGGTTTTGATTTCTAGAAAATTCTAATCCTTGGGAATTTCTGAGAAGAAGTGAGTGAAGTGCCTTCCCTTTATAGGAAGAATTCTTGTCCAATCAACGAGCCCAGTCACATTAAAGCACAAATCCCAAGAGTTGTGCCTGTATTGGAACTGACATGTCTTAATCAGACAAGACGTGTCTCTCCTTTTAATGCTTTAAGATGGCGTTGCACGTCCATATGATATAACCGTAACGTGATTGGTAGCAACAGACTTAGCTTTCCAGGCGGCTCGAGTGACATTTCCGCATCTAGAAACCTGTGGGCCTCTGTTATACCCAGGATATTCGATCACCAAGGGCGATGTGGCCCACGCTCTTCCACCGGCCCAAAAGAAGATAAGCCAGGCCCAAATTTGTAAAGATCACTCCATGGAGTTAGCCCACATGCTCACTCTTAGGGTTGTTGATCGCCCAATCGACGCAACGATTGCCCACGGAAGTTTCTCAAGGAAGAATGATGATCGCTCCAACCGCCTGAACACTCTCTGAAAAAGCTGGTAGCACCGCCCGATAGGTCCTATCACTTTTTTGCATAGATACACGCGGCGTCACCTTACACCCTTAGCTGGCGCTCCTCATTTAATTCACCAACATCTTTTTCGTGTATAAATACCGACCTCTAAGCCTAGATAAGATCATCAAAACCAAGGCTAGACACACATAAAAGCCCACCTCGGCTAATCCCCCCAAAAAGATCACTGCGATCGTCATTATTCTAGCTGATCTCTCAAAAGATCATACACATATGGCATGATTGGTATGATGGATGAAATTTCATAGGAATGGAATGAATTGAAGAATGGAATGATTATGAGAATGGAGTGAAACATGTTTTATCATTGATGCGTTTGGTATGCAGAAGGAATAGGATTAGAATGGAATGACATTATCATTTTTTATTATAAAATAAATAAAAGTTTTTTTTTTTAAAAAAATAATGTACTTTTAATAAATTATATATAAATGCTTTTTTAATAATATAAAAATAGAATACTATATTGTTTAATAATATAGAATAATATATTTTTAATTATATATAAAAATAAAATAATATATTTTTAAATTATATATAAAAAATAATATATTCTTACAAGTAATATATTTTTAATATATAAAAATTAATATATTTTTAATAATATTTTAAAAGTAAAATATTTTTAATAATATATATTTTATTTTTTAATTAAACAGTAAATAAAAGTAAGTTTTTAATTTTTTATTTGAATTTTATTTTTTAAAATAATATATTTTTAATAATATATATTTTTAATATTTTTCAATAATATATTTTTAAAAGTAATATATTTTTAATATATAAAAAATAATATATAAAAATAAAATAATATATTTTAAAATTATATATAAATGCTTTTTTTAGTTTTATTTTTATATAAGTATTTAATATTTCTAATTAAAAATTAAATAAAAGTAAGTTTTCAATATTTTTATTTGAATTTTTTTTTAAAAAATAATTTTATTTAATATATTTTAATCATGCTTTATAATATATATTATATATTTATTTCTTATAATTATTTGTTAATTTTATTTTTTAAAAATTGATTCCTACACACATGGAAATGAGAAAACCTTCCATTTACTATGGAATGGCTAATACCATGGAGATGGGTTTTGCATTCCCATTGGAATGGTCATTCCTTCCCAAAAAATATACCAATCATGGGATAAGGAATGAGTAAGAGAATGATCATTCAATTCTCATGTCATTCCTTCCTACCAACATGCCAATAATATTCGACTGCAACTTCCTTACATTATTTCTTATAAACACGTTGGAGAAACCCTCTCCTTGCTGGTCACCACAATCAACCGACAAAATCTATGTCTTACTATGTTTTTACGTTTTATCTTTTTGGCCACCTTTTCGTATCAAAATCTTGTCATAATTATATCGTAACCCCCTCGCCTTAATCACAAATTTCATAACCGTTCCATCAACATCACCAACTCGACATCCTTCCCTTATTCGACGCCGCGCACATATGTGCCCGCATCTCTCAGCCCTTGGCACACTAAGGGAATGCGCAAAGTTCCAGCCTCAAACTTAGGTCCGTAACATCAGGCATATGTTGGTGGATAAGTAAGTGTGTGATTGAATATGAGTTATGATTCAAATCGGTTGAGTCATTCTTACATCACGATATCCAACCACATAATTCAAAATTCAATTCAACCAACTCTTCTACTTTTTGTTAAATATAATTAAATAATATCAATCAGTCATTCTTACATCACGATAAATTTAATTCACTATTCATCCACTCACGTTATTATAATTACCTATTGCTTCCTATAATCCCTCTCTTACTTTTTGCATTATATCAACTTCAATCATTATATTTTAAATATTATTTAATTTCAAATCTATTATATCCAAAATAACCCATTTTTACCTATCCGAGTTGGATCATAACCGGTTTAATCCATATCGGCTCCCTAAAAGACCAATTTCCGAGCGCAAATAAAGGTGATTTACTTGGCAAAAGACGTAATTTTTTTTTTCAATGATATCTGTTTACTGCTCCGCGTTATTTTGAATTGCACCAGGCTAAATGCAGGAACTTCAAAATATAATAGAATAGAAAACAAAAATTGTTTTAATTTCGGATACTGGGCAAGACGCGCCCACGCGTTGCCGCCGCGGTTACGGAACTCACCAACAGCGCCGAAATCGCCCACACCTCCGGCCCCCTCCCGCGAGAAATCATAGCAGAGAAAGGAGAATAAAGTTATTGAGCATTATCATCCCCTCAATAGCATAAATACAACGCATGATTGATGCTTTCAAGGCATCTGAATAACTCGAGTTTTCATGGAGTCCGATCTCCTCAATTCCCGCGATGAATGGAGTCCCGTCCGCACTCACGCTTTGGTGAAAAATCGCCGGACGGTTGCTCTCGGCGACCTCCACGTTCTTCCCGATGAAACATTATGCACAATTCTAACGAAGCTCGCGCCTCATGATATTGGTCGCCTCGCTTGCGTGAGCAGGTCTAATTCTCAGTCCGTTATCATCTTATTAGTTTCTTATTTTCAGTTTGATCCATTGTCGGCTTTCGAGTGCATGTGGAGTTGGGATTACTGATGTCTCTTTTCTGTGTTAGCTCAATCTTGGTGTCTGAACAAACGATTGTTGATTTTGATATGCGCTTGTAGAGAATTCATTAAAATCTGGCAGTTGTCATTTGTGTTGTTTTTCTGTTTGGGTCAATGCATTAAGATTCAATTGGGGAAGTCTATTAATCTTGCTGTGAAGTTTTCTAAATCTTGTATGTCATAGTTTCGAGTGAGTTGATGCAGACTGAATTCAGTCTTATTCTAATGGAGCATGCGGATCAACTCAAGTTTGCTACTACAAAATGGTGTTTCGCGTTCTTGGTTGCAGATTATATTATACTTTTAAAATTTATAAAGCTGGGATACAAATGCTCTTGCAATTTGTTGAATAGAGCAAATTTTTTAAATAAAAAAATTTCAAGTAGCAGCATATTATTCATTTTCCATTTCTATTTTGACACTTGGTTTATGCTAAGGCAGTGTATCAACCTTTCTAATAAGAAAAAATCATCTTCTATCAGAAATCTGTTAATAGTATCGTTCTTACCATTTGTGAACTACTTTAGATTTTTAAAA